CATCCTCTAAGTCATTGATTTGTACAACAAACTACTATTGCGTTTGAATTTCAATTGAATTTTGTTTCCTTTTCTAGTTCTTTTCACTCATTTTTATATATAGGAAATTGAAAAAAGGGACCTTTGGTACACTCATCTAATAATTTAGAGAGTTTATCCAAAAAGGATGCTTCCTTTGTCATATCTAATGTGTACTAATTTCTTTGGCCTTTTTGGGTTCTCAAATATTCTTTCAAAATTATTATCATGGTTAACAGACTTTGAATTGGCCTTTTTGGAGAACAAAATATTAAATTCAAGACTTTTAAGTTAGTGAAAGACAAATTGTTGTTGAATCCACTATTTGTTTGTCAATTGGTGTAAGTTAACCATGGCTAAAAGTGTTGAATTATCAAAATTGCACATTTTAAGTTTAACTAGTCTAATCTTATTATTTGATTTATTTATGTTTAGTAACTAACAAAAATAAAAATAAAAATGTGATAACTCAATTGCATCATTTTGTAATATATGTAGCTTTCATAAAATTATATACGCATTAATATGAAGTACATACGTAAAGCGCGTGCTAAAAAGCTAATCCATTTTAAACAAAGATAGGAAATAAAAGCAGTGAGTATTAAAAAGACAAATTAAATGGAAGATTAAAAGGAAAAAAAGTAACGTAAATTAATGACCAATAGTGGACAGCTAAGACAAATAATAGGAAGTTGAATCAGTAAATTGAACCACTGTGTCTTCGATACTCCCTTCGTCTCAAAATTCTTGTTGCGTTTCATTTCTTAAGAGTTAATTTGATTAATAATTATGATTATATTAAATCAATTTGGTATTTTAATATTCAAAAACTATATTAAAAAACACTATAAATTGCAATTCTTCTCTAATTAATATGACAAAAAAAAAAATACTTTTAATTGATATAAGTGAATGTAGTTTAACCCTAAAAAGAGAAACGTGACCAATAATTTGGGACGGAGAAAGTAACATGCAATTTAAGAAATTCCACGTCAGATTTTGCTGTTGTCAGCTTATCTCCACCTCTCAACTTAAATGTTTTTCCCCACTACAAGCAGTGAGACAATTACAAACACAGACTATAGTTTTGAAGTGCAAAAAAGTTTGAAAACATTCATTCGAAAATCAGCATTGTTTAAAGATGGGGGAGGTAAGTTTCTACTCTTTAAGAAAATTTATATTTTTGAGTCGAAGGTCGGATTTGGCTCCCCTCCATTGGAGCAGTTCCTCCAGTTGGGGGTTAATTTTTGCTACACGTGTCCCTCAAATTAATAGACGGTTCAGATTATTTGCTAAAACCAACCATTTAACCATAGTCAACATTATCTTCCTTCTCTCTCCACGGATTCCCAACCCTCTCCTTTCCCTTTCAGATCTACCTGAAAAATTCCATCAAGTTAAAACTCAAATCAGAACTAGCGGGTACTTTTAATGGTATATCAGGTGCAGATTTGAAGTATCTGGAAAAAAAAATTTATGCTGAAATTGCTCTCATGACAGGCTAATAAGCAGGGACGACTCAACAACATTGGGGGCCTAAAGCAAAACTTAAGAGAGGAGCCCTAATTTTTTTTCATCATCTATACTTTTATTTAATATCTACTTTTCTAGCTATTTTAGATGTGAAGTCATTAGATACTGTATTATAATCAATTTGGTTTAATAATTTCTTTTCAAATGATGATATAGCTAATTCATTCAATCTCTCTTTAGACATTGTTGATCTTAAAGAAGATTTAATCAATTTTAATTTCACAAAAAACTTCTTTCGGCTGAGGCAATAGTTATAGAAACTGTTAACATTATTCTATAAGCAATATGAGTATTTGGAAAAGAATCAAGTCTTTTTATTTGATTGAGAATTTTTATTAGATCACGATCTTCTACTTGTATTATTTCCCTTAACACTTTTAATTCAAAAAATGAATCTAAACCATCAATATCATAATAACTAACACATGATAAAGAAAGTTCAAGGTTAAGACAATTTTTTTTTAATTCTCATCATCTAGTGATCTCAATATTTTACCACTAAATAAGAAATCAAAAATATTTCCATATGTTTCAATTGGTTCAAATCTATTTTGAAGTGAAAAAATAGTTTGATCTACTTTACATATATAAAACAATCAATTCTAAAAGGTTCTTCAAGGGATTTTGTGATTTCGCTATCCACATTTTCATCAAATTGTTTCTTACGAAATTCAGTTTATTTTTATCTCATATGCAATTTCCTTAGTAGAAATCATAACACTCATAGTACATATAATTATTATTTTCAAATAACATATATAAGTAATTGTTTTTAAAAATGGGGGCCCCAAAATATATGAGGCCCCAAAATATATGAAGCCCCAAGCGATGACTTTAGTGGCCTATGGGTTAAGTTGGCCCTACTAATAAGTATGGAAATATGGAAGAATCTTCACATTTTATCATTAATAAGCAGGGATATACTTTTGAGTTCAATAGAATTAAATAATTTTGATCCAAATCATTTATGTGTTAGGAAATTTATTTAAATATTTATCTTAATTGATTGGCAAGGGCGGCTCTAATAAATCGGTGGCCTAAAGACAAATTCGAATAGAGGCCTTAAATTTGAATATATATTTTTTATGAAGTTTATTATTGTCAATTATTTAATCTTTCTTGAGACATAATATTCATAATTTGTCAAACTTCTATTACTTCTTTGCTCTTTTATAAAAAGTTTTTATTTTCTACAAATAATACTCGATATTTTTTTAAAAAAAAAATACTTATAACCTATTATTTTTTTTAAAAATGAGGCCCCTCAAATTTTGGGGACTAAGCCAATTGCTTTTTTTGCAAAGCTGTAGAGCCGCCCCTGTTGATTGGGTTGGTGCACTGCCCCCACGTGGTGCCTAACTCTATGGGCCCGTTTGGCCATAGATTTCCCAATTAATATTTGGCGAAAAATTTGGCAAATAGTGTTCGTCCATACAATTTGCCATTATTTGGCAAATATTTTTGACAAATATCTCAAATTTCCAAATACTACTTTTTTCTAGTATTTGGGTCAAATCTCATTATTTGGGATCTTTTGAAAATTGAAATTTTACACTAAACTTTTATCTTTTACAAAAACACCCTCTATAGTAGTTGTTTGCATTGTATTACATGATTTTTTACGTGAATACCAAAGTAGTGATGGAACATTCAGTAAATATGAAAGTGATGATATGGTTATTGATGAAAATGATAAATAATCGATTTAGGGTAACAAAGTCATGTGCTTTGTCTACATTACCAGCCTTACCATAAGCATCAATCATCACAGAATACGTAACATCATCGGGTTCACACCCAAAAGATGGCAACTTTTCAAACCATTCAATAGCTTTTTCAGGCAAATTACACAGCCTAGCACAACTAATAATAGTCGAGAAAGTAACATTATCAGGCTTTACCCCTCTCTCAAGCATTTCATCAAACAACTTCTCTGCTCTATCCAAATCCTTATTTTTCCTCAAAACTTTCAACGTCACATTATATACAATCACCTCTTTGCTCAATTTCAACCTTTGTTGAAAATACTTCATAGCCAGCAACGCAGTTTCAGCATTAGTCATGTTATTCAAAGTCACAACAACATCTTGCTCTACTATTGTGTCACCCAAATCAACTAAAACATAAAAGACATCTTCTTCTACAGGTTTACAAGAATCCAAAGACTCAGCTACTTTCATTAGAGAAGCATACCTAAAATCGTAAGACTTTCGCTTCAGCTCAGAAGCTCGGGGGCTTTTGGGGTTGACCCAAAGCTTGCTTTTTGATGAAGAAACAACTTTTCTATCCGAGTATTGAGAATTATTGGGATTTGAGACCTGGGATTGTTCTTGAAGTGACACTTGGGTCGTTCGGATACAAGATTTGGAGTGAAGTTTGAGGGGGAAAGTGAATTTTTGGGGAGAATTGAAGTTGCAGAAGATATTGGATTCATAGAGAGGAGAAAGTGTAGAGCTTGGAGTAGACGCCATTTTCTTGGAGCAAAGCTTTAACGTTGCCGCCTGCCTTATCAACTATGGTGTTTGAGAGAAATGGAAGAGGTGATACCCCTTAAAAGTTTAGCATTTTGAACAATTTGCCCCCTAAACTTTTCAAATATTTATTTGAAAACTATTTCAAGTAAATGTGTCCCCATTTTTTTTCTTGACAAAATTTAGTTCCTTTAATATCATTATGAATTTGGTTCAGACGTAGGATACCTTTTCAGAGGTTGTCGCAACTCTAGAGGCTGGATCGAATCAAGCTTATGCAATTTCAGAATTTTCTTTGTTGAATGGTTTGTTCTTCCCGGTTGGAATAGATAGTTTAATTCGATGGAATCATCAAAGATTTGACCTTTTCGAGTTATATTTGTAACGCACTATAGGCCCGAGAAACAAAGAGAAGATGTATATGAACGAACAATAACTCTAGAGCATTTGGCGATCTCAAATGTGAAGTTGTCTGATGGAAAACTAATTCCATGTTCGGTTTAGATAACACTTTTTATGTTGAAAATTTTTCGACGAATATTTTTAAACTTGAGGGGTCCTATGTATTCCACCTCTCGAGCCACGAAACAAACCCCATCAAATCTTTAGCATATGATAAGATATGAAATTTCCCATATTATCTTTTACAAACTGTAGTTTGTAATGTATTTCTTATTGTCATAGTTTCAACAATAACTAACTTCCTAACCGATTGCGTTGGAGAGCTAAAAGAATGCAACATCAAACCACGAGTTGCTTTTCAAAAAAAAAGTCCCAAATATTGAAGACTTATAACTCTAATTCTAGAACAATTGGGCTTAATTAGTCGTACAATACTTCTTTTTCTCCAACCAAAATAATAATCTTATAACTTATTATATGTGGAAACTTAAGTATCTTAGTTGAGTGATACACAAATTGGAATTAGAAGGATTTTCAATTGAACTTGTTGATTTTTTTGAGAAATTAGACCACTAGTAATGTTGAAAAATGACATTTATTAATCAATCAAGGCTTTGCCAACAATCTAGTTAGCAACTTTTATTCTATTTTACAAAAGAAAATTAACTATACATTGTTTATTTATAACAATTCGTAAAGAAAAAAAGACAACCACATTAATAGAAGCCCACATTCATGAGCCTAGACATTGAACCATAACAATTGGGCCACCTTACATAATTGAGCAACCATTAGCATTTTCATCATTAAAGTACTGATCACATCTGCTCACATAACAGCCCCTACCATAGCCATAAGGCCCAGGCCCATAGTTATCGTAACATGGAGGTGGAGGGACCGGTCTTCCATACCCTTGATAACATGGCCCCCCGGTTTGGCCTTCGTAGCATTGTCCACAACAATGTCCCGGGGGCGGAGGGACCGGTCTTCCATACTCTTGATAACATGGGCCCCCAGTTTGGCCTTCGTAGCATTCTCCACAACAATGTCCCAGGGGAGGGATCGGTCTTCCATACCCTTGATAACATGGGCCCCCGGTTTGGCCTTCATAGCATTGTCCACAACAATATCCGTGTGGCAGTTGTGGGTATTCTTGAATTGGCATTGGCATTACGGGCACTGGTGCTGGTGGTGGAGCAGCTGGTTTAGGTTTAGGACCTTCTTTGGGCTTTTCGGGCTCTTTGGGCTTAGGTTTTTCGGGCTCTTTAGGCTTTTCAGGCTCTTTGGGCTTTTCAGGCTCTTTGGGTTTAGGCTTTTCGGGCTCTTTGGGCTTAGGTTTTTCAGGTTCTTTAGGCTTTTCAGGTTGTTTGGGCTTTTCGGGCTCTTTGGGCTTTTCAGGAGGTTTGGGCTTCGGAGGGTCTTTGATTTCAATTCTTTTGATTACTCCACATCCTTTACTACACAATTTGTCACGAAGTTTTTCAGGATTACAACAAACAACAGTGATTGTGACTGTATTGCCCTTCTCATCATATACTTGGTCTCTAATTTCTATTTCCCAAAAAAATTTGACACCACAAAAAAAAAGGAAAAAAAAAATTAATTCTTATTCATATTATAATATTGAAGAATTCAAGAAAAAAGAGACTTACGAGGGAATTTACAGAGAATTTGTTTGACCTTTTTGTAGCAGCTTGAACATTGAAGATCAACCTTGAGTACCATGATAGTGGTCTGATAATTAAACAATAAATTAAAGTAATTGTAAGCACACAATTAATCAAAGCTCTTATAGAAAGATTTGTGAACAATATTATGCAAGAATGAACTAAATTATTTTGTATTTATGGAAGTGAAAAGATACAATAGGAGAACAAAAATTCAGAATCTATATAATTTAGTGCGATTATATAATCAATCATATGTATTAAATTCTTGATCAAACGTCATATAGCTATAGATAGATCGATCAGAATCTTTTCGAATACAGAAAATTAGTGAATTCATACCTTTCCACCCCCCATGGTTGATACTTGAAGAAAATGGATTTTGTGTGGAGTGAAAAGAGTGTAGCTTTAATGAAAATATATACTAGTATGAATGAAACATCAAAAAGTCTTATGAAGAAAAAAAAGAAAAAGAAGAAGAAGAAGAAGGAATAAAGTAGGAAAACATCTTTAAAATTAAATGAAAGTTAAAATTCATGATATCATCTAAATTGGCAGCCACTAGAATTGCTGACTATATATATACTCTCAATTTCCATGTACTGCCTTTGATGGTCACATTTCACCATCCCTTTCATACCAAGCAAATATATTCTCTTTTGATTTCTCATTCGATGTTCAATATTTATATTGAAGTTGATTAAATTTTATTTGTGGGATGACCTTTCCAACAAGATTTTTTTCATTTTAACAAGAATTAAACTCAAGACCTCTGATTAAAGATGAAAGAAACGATCAATATTAATACCTAACACATATTATTTTTAACTGTTTTATCTAGGTTTACATAATCAATTAGAAGTAAATTTTATGATGATAAACATAACAACTTGATAGAGTGATTGATTATTAATTTGTTATAACATGTTAAATTATAATACTAGCAAGGGAGGAAAAGAATCTTTACATTTTATCATTAATAAGGGAGGTACCTTTCGAGTTCTGTAAAATTAAACAGTTTTGATCCAAATAATTATTTATATGTGTTAGGAAATTTGTTTAAATATTTATCTAAATTGGTTGGGTTGGTGTACTACCCCCACATGGTGCTAGCTATATGTAGGCATTCAATTTTTAATTTGTCATTAAATTTTACCTAATTTGTAATCATAAATCTTTTCCACTTTTTTGTCTTCTACAAAAGAGTGTAAATGAAGATAATTGAACATAGTTGACACATAAAATAATGGACTAATTACAAAAGTTGTAAGTGGAAAATGATAATTGTGGTGTGTCGGTTAATGTGCATGCATCTCTATCAATTTTAAAGGTATATGTTATCTCTTACCAAAAGTTTTTGACATATGAGAAGAAATCACATAGTTTTTTTTTATTGTCTCCATTACAATTCATGGTTTTCAACTCAATTTATTGACTACTAGGTCACACCCTTGAAGGTCTAACCCCATGATCTTTTTGATAGTTTACGAAAGACCAAATAATTTCAAAAAACGAATTCAAGATTTGAAGTTTATGAATTCATCCTACATCAATCTGAAATTAATATTTAATAGTAATTGGTCCATAATTATATATTTAGTAAATTAATAAATAAAACCAAATTGATAGCGATGATATAGAACAGTCAAAGGTCGACATCATTAGTACTAAAAAAATGTGGGCTTCTTTTATTTTAGGTAGAAGTTTAATGTCAAGGTGGGTAGTGAGGGACCAAACTCAAAATCCATAACTACAAAGTGAGGGGCGGCTTAATAACTTTGTTGATCTATAGCCAAATTCTAAATTATTTTAATTTATGTGATAGTGTTTGATTGAATACGAAGATTAATAGGGAATAATTATTATGTTAAAATATAAATTGTATAATGAATTTAATTTATTGAAGGTTCTGAAAGATTGCATAAAAATCTAATATCAAACATTTTGAAACCTTCTTGAAACGCCACAAGTTTGACATGTGATCTCTTGAAGTTCAAACATGTTTTCTTTGATAATGATGTCTCTATATACACCTCATTTGATACTTTATTCTCATTTAATCTTATCCAAATGAATCGACGATAAAGAAGAACAATGAAATCTAAATATATTATCCTAACCACTAATATTCAAAAAATGTTGTTATTCTTGGCATGATTGAAATGATTCTTCGTAAAGTAAAATACCAAAATTAATGTCTCCCAAAATTACGTAGGACATCTAAATCAAAAGAGATACTTTACAAATTGCAAGTAACCTGTTGAGGATGTCCATTAAGTATTTCATTTTGGAAGTGAATTCCCATGGCCCATTCATAAAGTTGGGCTATTTTGTTCTATTAAATTGGCCCATAAAATCAAGAGTTCGTACCACATTCGTACACAAAAGCCCATAATGAGAATCTTATCCATATAGCATATAAATTCCATTGGTTTAGAAGTTAATTACTTAGATATACTTTAGTCTGTAATATTACGTATTTTACCAGATTTTGGTAACTCCGGATATGTCCAGATACATGTATCTCGGATACATGGGTCAAATTTAGGTGTAATTTTTTCTAGATACATTGTATCCAAGTGGATTCGCATGTATCTGGATACATAGCAAATCTCGCTCGTCTCTCTCCCATCTCGCTCACCAATCTCCCATATATCTGGATACATATGAATCTCGCTCGCCTTCCTCCTCAATCTCGCTGCCTCTCTTCTTATTTTTGTGTATCTGGTAGCAAAATACATGTATCTAAGTGTAAGATACGTAAAAAAAAACTCTTAATTAGTGGTAAGATACGTAATATTTTAAAAGTATAAGTAATAATAATATATATGTTAGTGAAGTATGCCTAATAATTCTTTAATATTTAGAATTATTAATTATTCAAATGACTTATAATTATTCAAAGATCTCTTACATATAATTTATAAATATAAAAATTTCTAACCAAAAAATAAAAGAGCAACTTTCACATATATCAAACATAAAAATCATATTTGTATGCTATAATTATAGTTTGCATAATTATGCTCTATAGCAAACTTTATGGTTGCTATGGCTATTAATATGTATATTTTGCTATACATATACAAAAGAAGCAACTGTATAATCTGTTTCGGTATACATATACAAAAGAATCAATTGTATAATCTGTGTTTGTAAAGAAGAGAAAGAGAGAAAGACAAAAGAAAACTGGGCAAGGGAAGATCTGTATTTGTATAATCACAAGTGTATAGGATGAAAATATATGTATTTGTATTTGTGTATACAATTTACTCTCGCTTTACACAAACACAAACGCAATTTATACATTTGTGTTTGTGTAAAGTGAGAGAGGCGAGTGAGAGTGGCGAGTGAGATCCGGGAGAGTGGTGAGCGAGATCTGGGAGAGGGGAGAGAGGGGAAAGAAAAGCTATGTATATATACAATTTTCTCTCGCTTTATACAAACACAAACACATTTTATACATTTGTGTTTGTATAAAGTGAGAGAGGCGAGGAGAGACTGCCTAACGAGAAACGAGAGTGGCGAGCGAGAAATTCAGGGAGAGAGACGAAATGGCAACAGTTTGCTACGAGTTACAATTAAAGCAAACTGTGGTTATAGCATTTAATTTGAATTAATTAATAGTTTGCTATTTTATATAATTTTCTCAAAAAAATGTAAAAATTGAAATAATTTGATAAAAGACTACAAAATCAATTGACGGAAAATTTGTATATATATATATATTGTCTTTGAGTGAAAAAGCACAATGGTGAGCAATGTAATGATAGTGGTGAATGGTAACCATATAGAGGCATCAAGTTGCTTACAACAAGACAAAAGGTTGAGAAATCAATCACCTTCAAAATTCTCTTTTCCAAAAATAAAAAAAGATTTTGAATTATGCACAAAAAAATAGCAAGGACTTGTTTGATTGTACCAAAGACCAGATAACCATGGATATAACAACATTTTATCACCACACATGTCACTTCATCAATGCCCATCACACATACAGAAAATGATTTTCTCTAGTCTGTTTCAATTTGTTTATTTTATTTTGACTTGACATGAAATTTAAAAGTAAAAAAATATATTTTAATCTTGCATGCATCTTGATTACTTCTACGAGTGCAATCTATCTCTTATCATTATCAGTACAAATATCTGATAACTTTGTCTATCAAAGCTTGAACAATTTTTATTTTAAAAAATCACTTAATATTTATTCTTTGGTGAGATTCAAGTACTATGAGACTTTATGGTCACTAACTAGTAAACAATAATACAAAAATGTAATAATGATACGAATCTCTTATCACTTTTCTTTATTCAAATTGTAAATGAAGATAAAGAATCTCTTATGCCTTTATTATTTTCTCTAACTTTGATTGATGATCATCATCCTCTAAGTCATTGATTTGGATTTTCATTTGTATTTTGTTTCCTTTTCTAGTTCTTTTCACTCATTTTCATATTTAGGGAATTGAAAAAAGGGACATTTGATACATTCATCTAATAATTTAGAGATTTTCTATATCCAAAAAGTATTCTTCCTTTGTCATATCTAATGTGTACGTACTAATTTCTTTGGCCTCTTTGGGTTCTCAAATATTCTTTCACAATTATTATTATGGTTAGCATAGACTTTAAATTGGCCTTTTTGGCGAACAAAATATTAGAGACAATTAGATTCAAGATTTTAAATTAGTGAAAGACAAATTGTTTTGTCAATTGGTGTAAGTTAACTGTTGAATTATCAGAATTGCACATTTTACGTTTAGCTAGTCTAATCTTATTATTTGATTTATTTATGTTTTATTATAACTATTATGTATTCCAAAAATAAAAATAAAAATGCATCATTTTCGAATATATGTAGCTTTCATAAAATTATATACGCATTAATATGAAGTACATACGTAAAGCGCGTGCTAAAAAGCTAATCCATTTAAACAAAGATGGGAATTAAAAGTAGTGAGTATTAAAAAGACAAATAATTAAATGGGAGATTAAAAGGGAAAAAGTAACGTAAATTAATGATCAATAGTGGACAGCTAGGACAAATGATAGGATGCTGAATCAGCAAATTGGACCATCAATACTTCCTTCGTCACAAAATTCTTGTTACGTTTTGTTTTCAAGAGATAATTTGACTAATATTTATAGTTAAATTAAATTAAATCAATTTGATATTTTAATATTCAAAAACTATATAAAAACATTATATATTGCAATTCTTCGCATATTAATATGACAAAAAAAATTAGTATTTTTTAATTGGTAATGTAGTTTAACCCTAAAAAAAAGAAGAAACATGACAAATAATTTGGGTCGGAGAAAGTAAAATGCAATTTAAGAAATTCCACGTCAGATTTTACTGTTGTCAGCTTCTCTCCACCTCTCAACTTAAATGTTTTTCCCCACTACAAGCAGTGAGACAATTACAAACACAGACTCATCAAAAACTAGAATTTTGAAGTGCAAAAAAGTTTGAAAATATTCATTCGAAAATCAGCATTGTATAAAGATGGGGGAGGTAAGTTTCTACTCTTTAACAAAATTTATATTTTTGAGTCGAAGGTCTACTGAAAAAACAACCAGCTCTCTACTGTTACATGGCCGTAAGGGTAGAAATATATGTGTTCTCTACCATTTCAAATCCCACCTTGTAAATTATACTGGTTATATATTGTTATTGTTGTTGTATATTTCAATGTATAGGCCGAGGCAAATCTTGAGTACAACATATGAGTACTTTATGAGAATATTATCTAGATTCTACGTGTGTGTATATATATAAAAATCTTATCAAATACATTTCTACAAACAAAATTGATTGTAAATTCAAATATTATTTGTATATTAACTTGAGATTGCTGTAGGAATTCATAAATTTCAAATTATGAATTTGCCTCTTATGTAAATAAAGATGAGAGTTAAGATTTAAGTTCTAAATTCAAGAAAAAGAAAGCTTATTGGGTTCTGAATAAATTAGTTTCTTACGTACAAATTAAATACATGATCATATATAGTCGATATTACAAAATTTATCAAATACGTAGACAGGCTTGTAACTCCGCCCATGAATATGTATGTAGGTACTCTAATGGGTTTTTTTTGTTTTTGTTTTTATTTCTTAGGAGAAAAGGGAAGAAGAAGAGGCTCAAGAGATGGTGCTAAAAGTTGATATGCACTGTGAAGGTTGTGCTAGAAAAGTTGCTAGAGCCTTGAAAGGCTTTCAAGGTCTTATTTCTCTCTAATTTTTCCAATTTTTTTAATTATTTGAATTTTAAAGATTTTTGTTTTGGAACTAGACATTAATTTATTAAACCATTTTATTTCCCTTATCCCTTGCACGTTTCCAATTCAAGAATTAATTTACTCACAAGTAACACATTATTAAAACCATCAATAAACCAAAGACTATAGTCCAACCAAAGACATCAGCTTTATGACTTTATGTGTTAAATAGTACATCAATGCTGTTTTTTGGTATAGTTTATTACGATTTGAGTTATATGCATCAACGATAAAAAAACATACTTATTAAATATATAGTAGCGTTATCTGTAATTATCTTTTAAATGAAACGCAGGAGTAGAGGAAGTGACGATGGATTACAAGGAGAGTAGGGTGGTGGTGAAAGGCAAAAATGTAGATCCACTTAAAGTATGTGAAAGGGTGGAAAGGAAAAGTGGTAGAAAAGTTGAACTTATTTCACATATGACAAAGCCATTTGAAGAAAATACAAAGGAAGAAGAAATTAAGAAAGAAGAAGAGCCCAAACAAGAGAAAAAAGATGAGGTAATTTATTTTAATTTACTTACTATTAATTAGTTAATTAAATTAAGATTAAGCACATGACTTGTGATTTAATTATCTCTTGTCTCATTAATTTGTTACTTGCACATTGATTTATTTTATGTTCTTTTCTATAACCATCTAATTTTCGGTAGACTATATATTATTTCTTGAATTTAGCTGACTAATCAAGATCGAGTCATATGAACTTGGAAATCTCATGCATGTTCAAATTTGATTAATATTTAATTAAGATTGTGACTCTATTGCTTCAGATTTGTAACTTAGTTGGTTGACTATCTAAATTTTCATCTTATTAAAAATGAAATAGGCTATACATGGTAACAAATGAAAAAAAATAGTATAATGTAGCTAGGATGGACAATGTTTTATTTTGGAGCAAGAGGATATTTTGGGGTACCTACTGGGTACATTTAACTATATACTATATATATGAAACTAGAAAGGGACCGTGGAGTCGAAGAATTCAAGAATTAAAGTTTATGGGAGCTAGGAGAATTCACGAGTCAGACCAACATTCAATGTGTTATGCATGGAATGTTATGTTATTCGAAGTCTTTAAATATATATATATATATATATATATATATATATATATCGGA